TATTTAATGTTGACAGTTGATTTAATATCATGAGTATTCCACTTATACTACAGAATACAGTATATTTAATGTTTCTGTACTTCATTAACTGTATACACTTTATTGTGGTGATAGTTTTGTGGCTATATACAAATATCAAAACTTGTGAATTACATATTTTAAATATGTGCAGTTCTTAAGGTTAAGTAAAGCTGTGAATCATACATACATACACCTTTTGGTTGTTAAAATAGCTGCCATCTTTAGAAGGTATGCTTTCTTTTGGTGTGGTTTAACTTTGGTTTTTGTTTCTCTGTTTGGTTTTTGCTTATATGTTTCAGTTTTCTCAAAATAATCTAAGCATTTTCATTGATTAGAGCAAGTCATACATGGTGACCAGTGTAAATACTGAAACTAATCATCTTTTGGACCATAAAAAAACTAACCTTTTTTGTTTGGTATCAGACACTAGCCATGTTTCTGATGTACCTTTATTCCAAAGATTAAAAACAACAGGGATATTGTCAGGTTTTTGGTGCTAGCAACACAGCCTTAAATAAATAACTAAATTTGGCTATTTCAATTACTAAGTAGAAAGGGAATAAATCCTATGTGCTCTGAACTCATTTTTATCTTTTTATAAGTAACTTTTTCATTCTTCTTATTTTAAAGTTCTTGCCAAGTAGAAGAGAAAATTATTTATCCAGTAACCCAAACTAATGAACCAAACCCGTACTCTTTTTATTTATAAAGTACAGTTTTGGGTTCATTAGTAATATATATCCTCTTATATGACACCATTTGACACCATTAGTAGAAGAAACCTTTTTACAAAAAAAAAACACACGCAAAAAAGAACACAAACTCAGTTCACAATAGAAGTTTTCCATGTTGTTGCTTTTATGTGCAAGGTACATCCCAGTAAAACTTTTTTTCTGTTTATAGATAAATATCTAGAAAATATTTTAAAGCATAAAATCCGACTACAGGTGGATTAGTAAAATAAATAGATTGATTAAAAGCTCAGTCTCAAGGCAGATTCCCCTAGCTAAACTAGATAGTTTGATTAAAAGCTAACCTAAATAAACAACATAAATTTATGGTAGAGGTTGTTGAATGTTTTTCCCCATCTAAGTGAACTTTGCCCTGGTGAAAGGTTGCCTGTGATAGAAAGTTCCTTGAGCATGTAAAACTTCTTGGTATTCTTTGTTCACATAGATTTTCAGATTGTCTTTTGCAGAGCTATATAGTTTCAATATCTGGTACCTGTTTTTTAAGCTTCTTGTAGTCACCATAATGCTGTTAACAGCACTCCAAATAAAATTAAACAACAGCAGCAACAAAACCATTATGTAAGCCTTAATTTGAGTGATGATAAGATAGGTAGACTCCTGCCCCCTCTCTTCCTTCATCACCTCCAAACACTGTACCTGCATCATTAGGGTAGGTTTGATATCTATGCAAAGGGTAGGTTTGATACCAATTCTCGAAAAACTTTGTCTTCAAAATATGTTTTCGACAGTGTGAATGTTTAGGTTTTTATTAACCAATCTATGAGAATTAAATATGGTTCATCTGAATCTCTAAAGAAAACTATTTCTGGTTGTAGCTCACATGAGCCAAATCCAAAACTGTATTTTAAAAGACAAATTTTCATCCCAGTCCTCTGGGTGACTCATGAATGCCTAATCAATCCATATCACTTTTCCACAAAAGTTTTTGTATTATATTTTTTTCAAATAGTGTATATATCCTGAAATTAGTAGTGAATCATAATTCAGTATTACATCTTCACATTTCAATCACACTTTCCAAGTCATTCATTAAAATTTTTTTTACTTTTGAAATATATATGCTAAATATTTGTGTTGTTTCTGTCAAACACTCAGTATGTTCTTGGATCCCCAAAAGTATGTGTGAAAAGTACAAAGGTGTCCTCCCATTACCCCCACTGCCACCACCCACATTTCCTGATTTAGTACCATACTTTCTTAACAAGACATTTTAAGTCCCGTGCTCTGAGACTAGCTCTGAGCTAGCTAGGCAGTCTTACCTGGACATCTTAGATTAGATTAAACTCTTAAGACTAATATATCCTTTGTGAAAAAGTGAGATTATAGATGGGTTTCTAAAGGACTGTGGAACATTTTTAACCACCAGATTACTGCTTTAGCATGATATCCTGCCACCCTAAAGAGACTATTGCATAACAAAATCCACAGTAGTTTCAGAAAGATGCTTTTGATATATTTACATTTAATTATCTAAATCTAAATTCTGTAGTTTTAGTTTTAAATGTCACATAATTTGAGTTATCAGGAAAATAGTTGTATAGTAAACTGACCCTATAAAGACTTTTTATCATTAATTTGATCTTATGTAATAAAATAGATATCAAATATTATCTTCTTCCTAGTTAAACTAATTTTTCCTTTCAAATTCCTGGGAATAGTACTTTCCATAGACTTTTAAATTGAAATTAAATATTTTGTGATTTACTAGGAAGTCAAATTTGTTATGTTTTAAACAAGGAAGAGGAATTAACCTTTTTCCAAAAAGTAGAACAGAATTTCTGACATCTGCTTTGTTTCTAGTTAATGTTGGCATATCTTACTTTGTGAGGTAATTGTATCTCCATTCAAACAGAAGATTCTTTGTTCTGTCTTTACTAAATAGAAAGGAATGCCTTATGTTAGACCTTCTGCCCATGCATGTGTCACTTCTGTCTTGCACAGATGTATATTGTAAAGGCATTCACACATGTCCTCAGCCACACAGTGTGTCATTTTACAACATATCTTGGTTTCTTTTTCAGTTCATTTAACGTTTGCACATTAGTGGCTTTATAGTCAAAGTTTTACTTTGGAGTTAATTATTTTGGTGGGGGAGGGTTGGTCTAGAGTTCCTCTTAAGGCCTTCAAAGGCCTGAATTGATTATCTACAAAGTCTCCTTACTTTAGTAGGTATTGTTCATATATATATATATATATATATATAGAAAAAGGTTAATAATATATGTAGTAGCTTTAATAAGTCTAATTGCTTCTTTGACTATTTGAATCATTTAAGTTTCTTTCCAGAGAATTTTAACTTTCTGTCAATTTATTCTTAAATTACTTTAAGAGATTATTTTTACTCAATTTCCACAGCCCTTACTTTTTTTGTATGACTTTAGTCATATCAAAGAATTTTTAGAAAAAAAAAATTTCATCTATCATTTTTAAATGGTAGTTTTTATTTTTAAGTGCTAACTTTAATATAAATTTTTAATTATAGATCCTTCTGAATACCCATCAAAATTATTTTGTCAAGATGCCACAATTGTCAAAGGCATCAAATACAAACAAATAATTATACTCCATAGACATAAACGATAGGCCTGTTTTATGATCTGTCCTTTATTTCAATAGTTGTATGAGTCACCTAATGGTATGCCTCCATTTTCCTAGCAGTAAAATTAGTAAACTTTTGAGATCCTTGAATAAGTGATGTGTTTGCTATATACTGTTATTTTTTAAATAATACATGTAGAAAAATAAGTATTTCTTCTGCATGTCTCTATATTTTCCTTTAAGTTAATAAATTAAGAGAGGATCTAAATATTTCTAAATCCCAGAATTTACATAGTAAGTGGAAATATTTCTGAGAAAAAAATATTAGTAATAATTAAAACTTAGTATGTTTCAAGCACTAATCTGAACCCTTTAAACATATTTTATTTAACCTTCATAACAACTTTATAAGAGAAGTTCTAATACTAACTTCATTTAACAGATAAGAAAACTGAGGCCCACAATGTTGCCTAGCAAGTGCTATAACCAGGATTTAGGCATAGTCTTATTCAGAGCCTGAATGCTCTTAACCACTGACCCTTGCCTCTGCTTGAACACCTCCTATGATCCATTCCAGTGTCATACATGTTCATTTAAAAGCTAGTCACTAAATGAAGTATTTAAGAATGAAATGATACAGAGTTTTGGATTTGCTTTAAAATATTCCAGTAGGGGCAGACATGAAACAAATTTTTCCACCAAAACTGTTGAAGGCTGAGAGATAAGCACATGAGATCCATTATACTATTCTCCATTCTTATGTATGTTTGATAATTTTCATAATACTATGGTTTTTTAAAAGTTAATCTCTATATTAAACTAAGAAGTTCTATAGGGTTTTAGAATCTAATTTGTTTTAATTTTAGTTTTTCTTCTGTTTAATGATATTTGTCATGTGCCCAGTGATAATTCAGATATTTGACTGGCTTTTTATACCACTTATTTTTTAATTAGAGGCCTGGTGCACAAAATTTGTGCACTTGGGGGAGGGGGGGCGTCACTCAGCCCGGCTTATGCCCTTTCGCAGTCCAGGAGCCCTTGAGGGATGTCTGACGGACGGCTTAGGGGAGCGGGCCTAAGCCGTCAGTCGGACATCCTTAGCACTGCTGCAGAGGTGGGAGAGGCTCCCGCCACCACCACTGCACTTGCCAGCTGTGAGCCTTGCTTCTGGCTGAATGACGCTCCCCCCTGTGGGAGTGTACTGGTCACCAGGGGACAGCTCCTGCGTTGAGCGTCTGCCCCCTGGTCAGTGCGTGTCATAGCGGCCAGTTGTTCTGCCATCAGGCCAAAACCGGCTCTCCGACATCCCCTGAGGGGTCCCAGATTGCAAGAGGACACAGGCCAGGCTGAGGGACCCCTCGGTGCACGATTGGGGCCAGGGAGGGACGTGTGGGAGGTTGGCCAGCCAGGGAGAGACCGCAGGAGGGCTCTAGGGTGTGTCTGGCCCGTCTTGCTCAGTCCCAATTGGCCAGACCCCAGCAGCAAGCTAACCTACCAGTCGGAGTGTCTGCCTCCGGTGGTCAGTGCACGTCATAGCGAGCGGTTGAGCAGCCTTAGCATATCATTAGCATATTACGCTTTGATTGGTTGAACAGCCAACTGGTCAACCGGACACTTAGCATATTAGGCTTTTATTATATAAGATAAGTATTCTTAGTATTTTAACATAATCTGTATTTTTTTTTACAGGAGCCAAGCAATAAAAGAGTTCGACCTCTAGCTCGGGTCACATCCTTGGCAAATTTAATCTCTCCCGTAAGAAATGGAGCAGTCAGACGTTTTGGTCAAACAATACAGGTCAGTGAGGGAGGGGATGGGGAGCAGTAATGCAGTGACAGGGACATTTTACAGAAGCCTCAGATTTGTATTTTTTTTTAGTTGTACAAACAGGTTTATATTATTATACTTAAACATAATTTTTCATTTTGGAATATGTTGGTAAGAAATATTGTTACCAGAGCATACTAATGTGACTTCATTTTATTACTTTGTATTTTATATCAAATCTTAGTCTTGGATTGTTTTTCTTCCCAAAAAGTAATTTTGGCTGATAAATACTTTAAAATGATAGATTAAAGCTTGGATAAATGGCTGTTTTATGCATAGAGAAATTCTCAGAACTTTGGTATTAATTTGTCTGTTTTTTAAGAAAAGGGAATAATTACTGTGTCTTCCAAATCTTTTCTCTTTTATCCACCTCTTTTTGTTTGTTTGTTTTCTTTTAAGTCATTTACCCTTCGTGGTGACAATAGATCTCCAGCTTCTGCCCAGAAGTGGTCTAGCAGATCAACAGTCCCAACACCTGCTAAAAGGAGAAGTAGTGTATTGTGGTCAGAGATGTTAGACGTCAGCATGAAGGAGTCTTTAACTACCAAAGAAATTAAACGTCAGGAGGTATGCTGGCATCCAGTAGGCCATATTTATTGACTTATATTTTTTAAAATAGTCCCTATTTTTTAAACGTGTTTTGCAAGAAGAATAGCAAATTAATGCCTGTGACAAAATCAACTTGCATTTCTGTATCTGAGTAGCACTTTTTGATGGGTGATGGTCATCAAACTTAACAACTCTTAAGGAGAGGGTAAAATTATGAAACATGGCAGCCTCTTATTTGAGATTCCATTCTGAATTATAGATTTCAGACTGAGTCACTTTAAAAAGCACTGTTCTAAATATCAATTGTATATAATTTTCTTTTCTCAAAAAAGGAATGACCTTTCATGTTTGCTGGACTTTTTTTAGGCAATATATGAAATGTCTCGAGGTGAACAGGATTTAATTGAGGATCTCAAGCTTGCAAGAAAGGTCAGTAAATAACTTTATTATATGCCCTAGTTTTTAAAAATATTTCACAAATTCTAAAGGATAGTTCTCTTAACCTTTACAAGAAGAAAAGTAGAAAATACCTACTAGTGAATACTTTTTTTAGATGAGATTTATTAAACACATCTCTTCAAGTATGAATATCAGTAAGAGCATCTACTTGGGGATTAATATATACCTTAATGTCTTTTATGTGTAACGAATAGGATTCCCTGCTAGTTTTTGAAAAAGGAATAATTACATTCAAATACAGATCCTCTCGTGTTGATTTGCTCAATATCTTTGTGTGACACATTTCTTCCTATCTAATAGGCCTACCATGACCCCATGTTAAAGTTGTCTATTATGTCAGAAGAGGAACTAACACAAATATTTGGTGATCTGGATGCTTATATACCTCTTCATGAAGGTAAAACATGCCCCTTAATTTTTATTAGTATCTGAACAGTAGTAACACAGATAATTTTACATCTAAACTACTAATTTAATGCTGAAGTACTTTAAAAATAAGCCTACTATTGGTATTTCTGCTTTTTTATACTTCAGATTTGTTGGCAAGATTAGGAGAAGCAACCAAACCTTCTGGAACAATAGAGCAGATTGGTGACATTCTTGTGAACTGGGTATGTAGCGAGTTGTTTGCTTCAGATAGTTTTTTACATATTTTCTATACTTGTCATTTTTTATGAATATCAGATGATTTGATCCAGTAACTGGATTATAAAAATAGATAAGACATTAAAACTGAACAAACTTATGTAGCTATAAGAAGTTACTAGTATAGTCTCTGTTTAAAAAACAAATACTTCATGAATGATAGTTAAAAAAAAAAAATATATATATATATATATATATATATATATATATGTATGTATATATATATGTATGTATATGTATATGTATATATATTCCCTCTTTGGACAGAATCCCCACAGTATATGTCATTAATTACTTGTTTCATTCTTTTGCTTAACATTTGTGCCTGCCAGATACTAGGCACTGTTCTAGGAGGGATCACAGGAGATTCAGTGATGAAAGACAGTTTGTACATTTAAAATCTAGTGAAAGAATATCTGTCAACTATATAAAAGTCTCAGGGTTGGTGACGAATGTGCCAGAGGAACACTCAGGTGTCCTGGGAATACAGAAGAATAGCATCTAACTGAATTTGGGGGAAGTCATGAGTCTTTGGTTGAATTTAGTCAAATTATCAGAATAGGGTGTTCTGATGTCAACCCAAAACACTATCCTTCCCCCATTGTCACCTGCAGGAAAATTTTCACAGCTTGTTAAAACTTTTAAGAATAGCTGTAGTTTTTGTGTTTCGTGTTCACAGGCTTACTAATGGACTGAATCGTAACAGAAACTTACCATACTTTGTTTTCTTTAATTACTCTGTAGTTGCCAGGCTTGAATGCCTACAAAGGCTATTGTAGTAACCAGCTGGCAGCCAAAGCTCTTCTTGATCAAAAGAAACAAGATCCAAGAGTCCAGGACTTTCTCCAGCGATGTCTTGAGTCTCCCTTCAGTCGAAAACTAGATCTTTGGAGCTTCCTAGATATTCCTCGAAGTCGCCTCGTCAAATACCCTTTACTGTTAAAAGAAATTCTTAGACATACTCCAAAAGACCACCCTGATGTCCAGCTTCTGGAAGAAGCTGTAAGTAGTCAAATACATGACACTTATGTTTTGCAAATTTATATATTAGCTTGCCTTAGAAAGATTTACAGTGATACTCACAAATTTAATGCATATTACACCAGCATAGTGAAGTGTTTTTGTTGTTTTTTAGTACCCAGTATTGTAGTGCACTGCATAGTATAAAGAGACGTAATATATTTTAATCACAAAACTGGATTCTAATCTGATCTCTTTCACTAGCTAGCTGTGTGACTTTGGGCAAATCACCCAATTTGACTGAGGGTGTTTTTTTATATATAGAATGAAGGGACTGATTGAATTTACTGATTTCTAGGGTCTCTGTAAGCTTTAAAATTTTATCATTTTAAAAGATGTTTTAGCCTTATAGGGGAGCAGGATAAATTAGTAAGCTGAAAATGCTCCATCAGTGTTTTGGTAATTTTTAGATACTGATAATACAAGGCGTTCTCTCTGATATCAACTTGAAGAAAGGCGAATCAGAATGCCAATATTACATTGACAAACTGGAATATCTGGATGAAAAGCAGAAGGATCCTAGAATTGAGGCAAGCAAAGTATTGCTTTGTCACGGGGAACTGAAGAACAAAAATGGACATGTGAGTGCATTTGAATGCTAATATAAAGTGAGCTGTTATTTTTCTTTTCCAACCCTGTTTAAATTTATCACATAATGAAAGAAGGTTACTGGTCTTTATTTCATGTGATTTGATAAAGCAAACATGATTTCTCATGAATTACTTAAATGCCTTAGTGGAGAATCAATAATATTTTGTTTTGATGCATAAGTCATCAACTTGTTTGTCTAGGAGATTCCTTTCTAAATAAATTGTTAGTTTCATAATATTTAATAAGAAAGAATATTCAAAAAATGTAGTTTATTTTATAGTGATAGAAGTCTTTCTTAGTAGTACTGAACACATTTCTGCAGCAGATTGAATGAAAGCAAACTTATTTTTTAAATAATTACAAAAGCACCAGCTAGAACTAAGTTTAAGCTTGGATAGATAGTATTTTTGTTTCATGAAGTGCTTTCCAAAAGCTCAGTTTATAAGTTGAGGTTCTTTTTGGAAAAAGTTGAAGTGTGATATCTCTGATTTTTTATTTGTGACAAAGCAGAACCATTAATTAACATTTTTATCAGCTTGCATTTTTTAATTCTTCCTTTGTTAGAAAACTATGGAATACAGTAATGGTGTTTCTAGTCATGTTACTACTGATAATCAGGTCTTTGTGGGGAGTAGCATTTACTCAGCTACTGCTTAATCTAATGTTACACACCAATTGTAAAGGTTTTATGTAGTCTAAGATTAGAAGAGCTGTTTGTGTAGAATATGCACAGCCTTGAATAACCATCTCTATAGGGTCATTTGTAAGGATATCTTAGTAAATTAATGTGATGAAATTAATGTCAAATCAAGTCATTTTAAGAGTGGATTGTAATCACCTACAGTCACCAAGTGCCATACTTAAGAAGCATTTGTTTCCCCTTTCTCCAGAAACTTTACATTTTCCTGTTTCAAGACATCTTGGTTTTGACCCGGCCTGTTACACGAAATGACCGTCACTCTTACCAGGTTTACCGGCAGCCTATCCCAGTCCAAGAGCTGGTCTTGGAAGACCTACAGGACGGAGATGTGAGAATGGGAGGATCCTTTCGAGGGGCTTTCAGCAACTCAGATAAAGGTAAAAATACTAGCTTTAAAACAGTTTAAACAAACTCAGAATCTAAATATATTTTGTTTTAATCTTTAAGAATTCTGTTCCTACACAAAAAATTAGAAATGAAATAGGTTCCATTGTCCTATATATACTATTATACTCATTAATGTGTAAAGTGCTTTGCTGCTCTAACACCTGCAGGTGTATCTGATAAGTACGTATAAACTTTGTATCATGTATCTACCTAATTGATTTGCATATTATATAAACTAGGGGGCTGGTCCAGCTGGAGGGAGGGGACACAGGAGTTTGGTTGCCTGGCCCCACCCCCTGGTCAAACTCCCAATCAAGGGGATAATTTGCATATTAGCCTTTTATTATATAGGATAACCAGCACCCTTATTAAGATAGTAGGACCATGCTATCTAGAATAATCTTTTTATTTATTTAAAGCTGCTATTTTATTTTTTTCATTTTTATTTCTCTAGCTAAAAATATCTTTAGAGTTCGCTTCCAAGATCCCTCTCTGGGCCAGTCACACACTCTACAAGCAAATGATGTGTTCCACAAACAGCAGTGGTTCAATTGTATTCGCACTGCTATTGCCCCTTTCCAGCAGGCTACTAGTTCACCTGAGCTGCAAGGTTTGCCAGAGCTCCATGAGGAGTATGAAGAGAACAACCCCGCCGCCGGGAATATCAGAGCCCAGAGAAGGTCATCTACGGTGTCGAGTGTGACTCAGGTGGAAGTTGATGGAGATACTTCAGAATGTGGCTCCCCAGTGCACGCCGCAGACAACATTAAGAGTGTCAAAGCACACCGAACACAATCCGGCTTCCGAAAATCAAGGGACAAAGCCCACTTTAGTGGCAAACGGAAAGAGACTTTGGTATAAAGAGTGTTAACTAGTGGAGAAACTGTTTATTTATAAATGTGTACAGTTTGTTTTATCTTGTAATGTGAGCATGGGAGCATTGCAGGGTTACTTAATACCAGTCTTAACATTTTCTATGTTTTTGGTTGGTTTTGGTGGTTGTTCCCTTTTTTTTTGTTTTTTTTTGTTTTTGTTTTTTTTGTTTTGTTTTTTTTTGTTAAGGCAGCTAAAGATATATATATATATATATATATATATATATATATATATATACACACACACACACACAGATTGCTGTTAAACTGCAATCCTTTTTTTCCCCCCAGATATTTTCTCAAAATTATTTAGAACATTCAAGCCTGATATTTTCAGTCAAATGAAATATTTATGAAATGGGTTTTCTCTTCATTCTGCATTCATCATGACTTTTCAATACTAACCAATTGTGGAATTTACAGCATTTGCCAAAACTTAAAATTTTGCAAATACTAGGATTTTACCAGTGTTATTTTGATAAGCTTTGTGTGCAGAATTTGAATTTTTAACTTTGGCATCTAAAGTTTACATGGAATACATGTAATATTTCAGAATTTACATTGAAACATAAGTTCCTTGGAAAACAAACCATAAAACGTAATAGGTTTTCCATTTTATCAACTGGAATGCTTTATGTTAGTTTGTTTTTCCACTATACATTCCTCATTTTCGTTCATTTAACCTGCCAGTTATTTAATTTTTTTATTGTAGTGTTTAGGATTTGCTTTTATTTTTTTACTTTGATGCCTTTCAGATTGGCATGTCTTTAAAGTATTTTGTTTCCTTGATTTAAAAATGTGTTTGTGTGCATATGTGTATATATATAAATATATATATTTTAAATCATATTAACTTTACCAAGTGAAACCAAGCCATACTGTTTTTGAGCCAATTAAGAAAATTGCCATTTTTAAAGTGTAGCATTTTGAGGCGATGAACACACATGAACTGACAGTATATACTAGATTACTGAAAGAAAAAACACCTTATGAATTTTGTTGAAAGTTTTAGTGTTGTCTGAGAAGCAAGAGGGAAGGCAGTTGACTGGTAATAAGTATTAAAAAAAAAAAAATGAGGGAAAAGAGAGTAGTTTTGTCTTAAAGGAAAGCTATCTGGTTGTGCCAGAATGTGAAAGGAGATAGTAAAAGCTAAACTTGAGGGTGTGTAGTAAGTTGTAGAAGGCATGGGGGAAGTGGACTTTATTTGCCTTGGTTTATAATGCCTGCATATGATGGGTTTGAAAAGACAATGGAATATGTTGAAATTTTGACCATATTAGATCAATTTTGGTGAATTTATTCATAAGAGAGGGGAAAAGACTGATTAATCTTTTATTATAAAGTGTTCCTGTTCAAATGAGATCCTAGTCTGTAATTGCGAACTAAATGTCCTGTGTCATGGCAAATTTATAATGGTTATCAATTCAAGTAAATGTTGATTGGTATGTGAACTATAATTGGCCAGGGGAAGTGAAAATTGAAAAAGACTGTATATAGATCAATCCAAATGATTTCTCTGTATAAATGAATTATACAATTAAAAAAAGCACACAAACAATCACCCTTAAAGGTTTCTTGGCTGGTGGATATTTGGGGGACATTTGCCAGAATATGTTGATATGATGAAGTACTGGCAGACCTCACAAAAGTTTTTAAAAATTATACATAAACTTTTGCAATTAATTGATGAATAAGAGAAAGATTTAGTTAGGTCATTTTGTGCATCTTATTAAGCCATTTAGGATGAAGTATAATACAAACAGCAATTGAGTTGAAGACAGCTGAATATCTGGCCACTTTGTGGATGTGATTGTAAGGCTAATAGCAAAGCATTCTGATGAATTTGATTAATTTCAGATTCTAATTTAGGTATCTCAGGTTTCTAACTATGACCTGAGACATATCAAAGAATTGCAATGTATGGACTTAATTGGAACCTAAATCAAACAAACTTTTTTAACAAGACAATCAGAAATATCCACTATTAACTGGATATTTGAAGTTCAGTATTTTTATTTTTCTGTTTAACAGTAGTACTCTGATTACCTTTAGAGACAAAATCTGAAATATTTATTGATAAAATTGTATTATTTCTAGGATTCCCTTCAAAATTACAGGGCAGGAAAATAGTTGGAGCTAAAAATGAAACAAGATTGGCCATAAGCTGAGAATTTCTGAAGCTAGGTGAGATATATTGAGAATTCATTATAGTCTTTGCATATCTTTTTGTATATGTTTGAAACTTTTCACTAAAAAAGGAAAAGCACTTAAGGAATTGCAGGTATCTAGTAAGTTTCAACTTCTCAACCTCTTAACACCTTCCAAGCCCCCAGCCTTCACTTTCCAAAGTAAGGCCGGAATGTTGATCAAACACAGCTGCCTTTGCTGTTTGCTGTTCACCATCTCACAGAAACTCAAACCTTTTGCCTAAATTTGACACTCAACATCCTCTTCATTACAGCTTGGCAGTAGTATTAGACTAATCTCGACTCTGGTTTAATTCACACGCCCTTTTCTCTACTTTTCCCAATGTCTCTCTCCCTCTACCACTACTTGTTTTCTTTGCCTACCCTTTTTTCTCTGACACAAACATGGATCCACAACTGTATAAAATGAAGCAGAGAGAAAGGTATGTTTCCAGTTCACCCAATGAAGTAATTCCATGAAACCCAACCCTGAGAATTTCCAGTAAAGACCATTTTGTTAACTACATTCCTGCCTCTTAAGAAAGGAACTAGCATTAAAATATCTGGTAATGTTTGTGTTGTTGAATAGACCAGAAAGTAAGGCAAAATTAGCTGCATTTAAATAATTTTGATAATCTACCATGGAATTCCGATTTCTCCATAGCTGCTGCTGGGGGCAGGTGAAAATATTTTCATTTTCCTCCTTCACTGAGCAGGGCAAGCAAAGATAGATTAATTAAGTTACACCTGATCATTACTCTGATTCCCTCCTTACCAGCAGAGGCATCTGAAATCAGGAAACATCAAGTGACTTGCCCAAGGTCACATAGCTGGTATGTGGCAAAGCTGAGATGAAATGTACCAACCCTGCATTGTAGCTCTTGAACCAAACATGCATGTCACCCCAGGATCCCCCCCACACACACCCCAATCCCACCTTAGGCTACCACCACTCAGGGATCCACCTCTGGTGGAAGAGCTTGTCTGTTCTTCACCTTGGACCCAACCATCTTGAGTTTATGCTACTACCCAGCAGTACCAGCTCATTCTGCATCATAACTCTCCAACTTCCTCTAAGAAAAGTTGACTAAACCCACCATCCCTCCCTTTTGAAAATACCACTTCCTCCAACTCCTGTGCTCCCATGTTTCTTCTTCTTCTACCTTCCTAGCATCTTCTCTCCTTTGGCCACTTCACTTCTAGATCTAAATTTTGTAAAGCTACAAGCCTCAGTCCCCAGACTTCTTTTTAAGCTCCTGGGACATCTGATCCATTCCCATGACTTGAACATCACCAACACCCAACAACTCCCAAATTTATATCTTTAGTTCTCACCTCCCTGAGCTCCAGACTCACTACCCAGCAGCCTATCTGACATGCCCACTGGGAAGTCTATATCTCACACTTGACCCAAGAGAACTTGCTGTCCATCCCTAATCCTTTCCTCCCCTAATATTCCTAACTCAGTAAATGTCATGACCATTCATCCAGTCTGATTCTTCTAACTCACTCTTACCCCATGACTACTACATCTGTAAGCCATGTCACTCCACTTCCACAATTTAGAATCCTACCATTGCCCATCACTTTCATTATTCCAAGTTAGTATTAGCTGCAGTAGCTCTGGTCTTAAAAACAACAAGAGCCTCCTAACTGCCTGCCACACTTCACTCTCACCACCATATCACAGCCAGATGATCTTTCCAATGCAAAAGTCAGGCCATAATAAAATATCAAAGTAAAACGTTAGCGCTTTAAAAGTTACATTTTCTGATGCTAAAATGTATACATTTGTATTATGGAAAATTTGTAAAATTCAGAAAATTATAAAAAATAAATTGCCTGAAGAGAGTGAGAAAACATTCAAATCCCACTTACCAAAGACTAGGGAAAAAATATTTGTAAAGTGAACAAACCATTTTTTAAATAGGCAAAAGACCTGGGCACCTCGCCAAAGAAGATATACTAGTACAGATGGCAAATTATGCACATGGAAAGATGCTCCACACCATATCACTAAGGAATTGCAAATTAAAGCAACAATGAGCTATCAGAATGTTGAAATCCAAAACACCGTCAACACCAAATGTTGGTGAGGATGTGGAGCAACAAGTCTTATTCGTTGCTGGTGAGAATGCAAAATGGCACAGCCACTTGGAAGACGGTTTGTCAGTTTCTTACCAAACTACAAAACCTACCATATGATTTAGCTATCATGCTCTTCGATATTTACTCAAAGGAGTTGAAAACATGTCCACACAAAAACCTGCAGCTTTATGCATAATTACTCAAACTTAAAAGCAAACAAGATGTCCTTTGTGAATGGATAAAATGTGGTTCATCCAGACAATGGAATATTATTCAGTGCTAAAAAGAAATGAACCAGCAAGCCATGAAAATACATGAAAAAATCTTAAATGCATTTACTAAGTGAAAGCAGCCAATCTGAAAAGGCTATGTACTGTATGATTCCAAATATAAGACATTCTGGAAAAGGCAAGACTGTAGAAACAGTAAAAACATGAATGGCTGTTAGGAATTGAGGGTGGGAGAGTGATGAATAGGTGGAACACAGAGGACTTTTAGGACAGTGAAACTATATGACACTAGTGGTGGATACATGTCATACATTTGTCCAAACCCACAGAATTTACAACACCAAGAGTGAACCCTAATGTCAACTATGGACTTTGGGTGAATCGATTGTAACAAATAGACATTTGTTACAAACCTCATTTCTAGAACTTCTTCCATCTCAAACAATTCAGTTCTCAACCAAGTTGTTCACAGAAAAAAATGTCTTGGTTGACAACCAAATCTTCAGTTTTAACCTGGCCACCCTTTCATGTTGATACCTCAGCATGACAAAAAGCATCTCTCAGGCAACAAACAAAGGAGAGAATGCTTTTGTTGCTGGCTAAATCTATGATTAGCACAATTTTAAAACATAAAGAGTGCTAATGTATCTAAGGGTGTGAAAGTGCTCAAAAAAAATCACAGGCAATTGACTAGGTAGAAAAATTGTTGAT